ATCTATATATGTATTCCTTTTGTATTCAGCCAAACTTATAGTCCGCTACTCTTGTATTCAATCTATATATGTATTCCTTTTGTATTCAGCCAAACTTATAGTCCGCTACACTTGTATTCAATCTATATTTGTATCTACTTTATATTCAGCTAAACTTATAGTCTGCTACACTTGTATTCAACCTATATATGTATTCCTTTTGTATTCAGCCAAACTTATAGTCCGCTACACTTGTATTTAATCTATATTTGTATCTACTTTATATTCAGCTAAACTTATAGTCCGCTACACTTGTATTCAACCTATATATGTATTCCTTTTGTATTCAGCTAAACTTATAGTCCGCTACACACGTATTCAACCTATATTTGTATCTAATTTGTATCAATTAAACTTATAGTCCGCTACATTTGTATTCAACCTATATATGTATTCCTTTTGTATTCAGCAAAACTTATAGTACACTACATATGTATTGAGCTGTATTTGTATTAATCAAACAGAAATCTTACCACTTTTAATTGTTTCGTTACAAATTTATGGGGAAAATATTTACCATACATATATTTTTTGTTTCAGAATTTCGCGAAAACCCATACGTAGCCGTAACACGAAGACATAGTTCGGACACACTAACAATAGGCCACACCAAATCCATTTACTAGAAAAAAAGAGAGTGAAAACGATAGCTAAGGCAACAATAAGTTACCGATAATATAACTAAAACTAACTTTCAATTATTTTGTATGTAAGACCCTGGAAGTAAACCTGCTAGGGAGCAGTAAATGGTAAAATACAAGAGACAAAAATACGATATGAAGAAAAATAGAAACTGAAGATTAACAAGAGAAAATGTTACGAAAAAAATATTGTAATATTGAAGTTTATAAATACGATTTATAATGAAATGAGCATGGCGTTAATTTTGATATAAAAACACAAACACGTTTTAATGTTCATGTGCAATATCCACTGCGGGCGATGTTCCAGGTCTTTATCTCTAAATAGCTGACGAATGTTGGCAGAGGGAGTATGTTTCTATAAGGTTTACAAGTCATGCAACACTTAGTCTCAGTCATTTAGAAAAGTAGTTTTCGCTGAAAGTTTACCATTTAAACATTGTGTTCAGACTGCGCGCAAAGGAATATGAACGTCAACCGTTTATTGAGCTAAATTGGATCCTTAAGGCAATGAAAGCTGAGTTGATGTGCAATTCAAATTATAATTGAAATAAGTTTTTAATCTGAAACGTTAGTGGTTGTAATGTTCGTTCACTAATGTATATTTCCAGTTTTGTATACGTTTAAGTTTGTTTGTTTTAATATTAAGCACAAAGCTACACAATGGGCTATCTGTGCTCTGCCCACCACGGCTGTCGAAACCTGGTTTCTAGCGTTATAAGTCCGCAAACATACCGCTGTGCTACTGGGGGGCTGCATAGGTTTATGACACAACACGGATATTTAAAAAGAAATAAGTTTTGGAAAAAACGAAAATACCATTTCTATAAAATGAGGCTTTTCACTATTTGCTGAAATTTAGTTGCGTTTACCAACTGTACCACACCAACCTAAATAAATGTTAATACAATGTTTTTGTTGATGTTTTAGCGCTAAGCTACAAAATAGGCTCTGTGCACTCTGCCCACCGCAGGGAATCGATTCCGGATTTTAGCTTCACAAGTCCGAAAACTTACCGCTGACCCACGGTGGTCAAGATGCCGGATTCACTGGGCCCGAAACCAGGGACTTATGTCATCATAAAGAGACCCAGAAAAAAATCTAATTATATTCTTTGTTCACATTTTTGCGAACATATTTCTATTCTATACCTTCAAGAAAAAATGATTTAATCGAGTTTTGTATTTTAACTGAGTTTAGCAACAATCGATGTTATAAAAATTATTTTTATAGTTTTAAGTTTCTTATGTTGTGATTAATTAAGTTTCATTATTTTGATTTTATTATTTCATAAGATGGTTTAATCATTTTGGTGAAAATTTTAATTAGGCTCCCTATTCGAAAATATGAGGGCTTTGTGCGACGCCTTTTTTTCTTTCTATGGCTGTGTAACATTTGTTTCATTGTTTTCTTATCGGTTCTTATATTGATGTTCACATAAATAAATCCTGTTATGAGCTTGATCGCTGATAAAAATCGTAATTTAAAAAAATATGTGATGAGGTTGGAGGATGAGGATCGTGTTGGGCTAATGCAGCACTGGCAATGTTTATTTTCCTTATAGAAATATCTTACGTACCTGTTAGTAATGGTAGTGAAAGCAAAATTTACACAATGTATACTACACTCTGTCGAAATAACTTGTTTTGGGAATAATGAAAAAACATTAAAGTCTTACAATGTTTCAAGGTTTAATCGCGGTGTGTGTTAAATACGAACATACATGTGCAATGTACATGGGGTTGATATGTAGTTGTACATTTAACTGTTATCTTTAAAAGTCGAACACAAAATACAATTAAAAAAGATTGTAATAAGCGTGAGTATATTAAACATTTCCAAGAGAAGTAGCCTAAACTTGTAAAGTGAAACATTAAGCCAAATAAGTCAGAAAATGTTCACGCGGGCACACAGTAAATATGCTTTTTTTTTTAAACCAAGATGAATATATTTATGGACAAACATATACATGGAGAGTCAGATGGATAGACACAGCACATATGCAGGCAAAACGACAGTTAGATAGACACAGCACATATACAGGCAAAAAGACAGTTAGATAGACACAGCACATATACAGGTAAACAGCTAGATGGATAGACACAGCACATATACAGGCAAACAGACAAATTGATAAACATAGCGTATATATACAAGTGAATAACCAGATGAACAGACACAGCACATAAACAGGCAAACAGACAAACTGATAAACATAGCACACAAAGGCCTACATCCGGAAGCACAGACACAACACATATACAGACAAACAGGCAGGGTGATAAACACAGCAAATATACATGCAAACGGGCAGGTGGATAGACAGGTATGAATACTAGGATAAAAATATAACAGATAAACAGTTGTATGGGTTTCCTATTGCGTGTTTTCGATTAAATGTTTTGAGCTAACATCATATTTTGCGGCTAAAGAATAACATTTTTAAATGCTCTGTCGGTTTAAAATATAAATTCATGTTCGGTTAATTAAAGAACGTTGCAGTTTTTGAAATGTGTTGAATATAGTTGAGTGAGCAACAAGAAAGGGATAACTTGTTATGGCTCAAGATAAAAGCCATTGATATGAACAAAATCAAGTACCACTGAGAAGAGGAAACCTTAAGGGTGTCTTGATTGTATCATAGATTTAGCAAAGGAAATCCAAAGCCTATTCATCTTAAGAAAGCATAGATTTTGGGATATGATTCAATTTGTCATATTTAGGGCCATGTCATGATCAGTGACGCCGAAGGCTCTATTTGATTTAAGAGATATGACGAAACGATCGATTTATCGCTGCGATCAGCTCATTAGAACAAAGCGATTGTTAACGCTTAGTTAAGGAAGCTCTGCATAATGTAAAGAGGGGTAAGTTTTTTCTACCACACTTATGGTTGACAAAGTTTTGAACGTCACAAATATGCCTGACATAGTCGTGGGTAAATTGAAAATTTGTCTATGCGATGATCTTATGTATTGTATATAGTTCTCTCTAACCTATTTTGTCTTGTATTTAAATATAAGAACGATCCGATTTCAGTAAGCCAATTAGGTGAAAACGCACGTTTTTCAAAACAATGTTACGTTCCTGCACTCTTGTTCATTCTAAGGGTTGCAATATAATATAGATCGTTTCACTTAATTTCATTAAAAATTAAACTTAGATGCTTAGTTAAGTTCATTTGACAGGTTTTTAACGGATATTATCTGACTGTTTAAAGGTGGCGTTTAAATAACAATCCTCCTTATATTTTTAGATCTTTTTACTGTTTCAAACACCTTGTAATCGTTCTTCAGGCAGGTGATTTAATTCCGTAGAAATCTTCTAAACAACAATACGTTTGTTATTTTCTTGAGATAAGCAACTTACTTTTTTCTGTTTGTTTCTGATAGCCAGTTTCAGACGACTCAGGTGCATACGATCACCATGGTGAAAAGCAGGGCCGCTGGGGTCGTAGTTAAGCATCACTTCTAATTCGTACGTACTGCGAGTATGATCCAACAAAGCTGTAGCAAAGTTTTGACATTGTCGGCAAAGTTCCTAAGATAACAACGAGAGAAAAAAGAAAAAAAGTGATGAAATTTCATCAACTGGAAGGCAAAAATCTTCTGATTACTAGAAAGTGATATTTTCTAAAAGTTCGCCTAGATGACAGAGCGAAATATGTATGTTTAAAACATACTGTAAAAGGTTTCCTTTTTATAATTGCTAGGTCAATGTTTAGTATAGTAATATGTTCCTTCATTCTAAACAGAGAAAGCAATGATAACCTTAAATATATTATTGTTATTTTATGCACAAATGACAAATAGTACCATAAATATTGATGATGTCCAATAGCTCTACCATTTCTCAGAAACCATTAGCATCTAAATCATAATACATTTTGTCTCGTTGGATTCAACTTGTTGCAGCAAAATATGCAAGAACCGTAGAGAAAACACATTATTAGATAATATTTGATTTAGGCTACCAGGATTCAGCAGGAAAAAAAAAGCAGTCAGATATCATTATTTTGTCTTATTATTTAAACTACGTTCTCTGAAGGTATTGATAGACATTGTACAAAAAACTTGTAAGGCAAATACTTTAGTTTACTATACTAAGATATTATCAGACTACCAATTTCGGCCTTAAAGCAGATCAAGCCACACGGTTTAGTTTGTTATGAATTTTGCGAAAAGCTACTCAAAGGCTATCTGCGCTAGCCGTCCCTAATTTGACAGTGAAAGACTAGAGGAAGGCAGCTAATCATCACCACCCACCGCCAACTCTAGGGTTGCTCTTTTATCAACGAATAGTAGGATTGATCGTCACATTTATAAAGCCCCACGGCTGAAAGGGCGAGCATATTTGGTGGGACAGAGATTCGAACCCGCACATTGCGAATCGGAGGCCCTAGCCGTTTGGCCATGCCAAGCCCAAGCCCCACCCGAAAAATACTTTATGGTAGATCCCTTTCTCTCTCCTCAAGAAGAATGTCTCTAAAACAAATTTCTCGTGCCTGGAAAATGGATCTAGAGTGTCCCTTTCTCTATATACTTTTGCTATTCATTTGACTAAATATAAAGATGGCTGTACTAGGTTTTTGGAAAAACGTCTTAGGACGTAAATGGAATTTATTTCTTACACTAGAAAACTAGTATATGTTTTAAAAACAAAACTGTCTGTTGAGAGAACAGACACCTAGATAAATAATATTGAAGACCAACTCGAAACTATTTCACTCAAGTTGTATTGGGAAATACAATTTTAAAAGTACCCAGAGAACTACTTTTAGTGACAGAACAAATTCACCGGCTGACTTTATATTTGAAGTTATATTAATTGAAGTAGAAGACGTATAGGTATCGAATAATGAGAAATATGTGTTTGCATAATGAACGTTAACGTCGTATATAATTTCAAAATTGCACATGGATTTTATCATCTGAGAAATGCAGATGAACAAGGAGCCACAGATTGCAAGAATGACAATGACTTAAATTGAACTCTACGAAGATATTTTGAATCATTCCAATTTTGCCGCTTATCCCGAATATTACGTATAAAAAATAAAGGAAACTTTTATCAAAGGTCAAAACAAATAATCTGATGTTCAGGAGATACGTTGTATCGTACTAACCACAAAAAAAACAGATCAGTGAAGTCGTCTTGCAAGCGAGGGAAAGGCAAGTTGTATTAAAATAAATAAAAACTGATTATGCTATTTCAACCACCTTCTACTGTAAAAAAGTATACGTGGACATAGAAAATTCTGTTAAATTAAGTACAGGTATCCAAACAAGTGGAAAATTAATTAAAACTGAGGATGATCTCCAACCTCTACTGTTGATACCTACCGTGCTGAAAAATACTTGGTTACAAATCAAACTTTTCATATGGAAATCGATAATTATTTAATATTATGACCTCCTTGTCCAAGTGGCTGGAGAATGTGGCTCTATAGGATAGTAAGGCAGAAAGTATGGTGTATGCTCTGTACATGGTGTGCAAAAAAAAGGCGAATTCCAGCAGTCTCGAGTTCTGATAAGGGAAGTTAATTCGTCAGTTTAGTTTCGGACATCCTCATACGGTGATCAGGAACAACACAAAGAGTTTCATCTGCATAACGACATCAAACTAACGAAACTATACAGAGGTTTAATCATGTACTGCAGAATATGCTTATAAAGGTGTGTTTGGTGATCAAAGGCAGTGGGATAAGAATTTTGATGAAATCGTATTTACGCGCCATAGAGTAAAGCAGTATCTTTGGTCCCAAGGCTGTACACATCCAAAAAGTAAAAGCAGATCATGTAAATGTCTAGTACTTTGGTAAGGTACCGTTGGCGAAGACAGTTGGAAAAAACATTAAATGTGAGGGAAGAAATCCCCTCTGTAAAAAAAACGACACTAGGAAGTTAATAGGGAAGAAATGGATATAGAGTAATTTCCCTCCGGGAAAAATTATTTGAGCTATTTTTCCTGAGAGAGAAGAATGGCTCAGGGAGAAAAGGTATTCTGGAACACCCGCATAAGGTGTCACTTAACTGAAATATATTTTTATAAAAACTTTTAATATTTCTATTGAATTATGCTATCACATTTACAGGGAAATAACAAAGACATTTGTTTCCAAATATAAAATTTCATCTTAAGTGCATAAATAATTGTTATATCTATATAGTCGTATATTTTCAAGTCCGTGAGACTTTTCTTTGTTTACCACTATAAAACACTGTAGTCACTAGTCTGTTTTAGTATCAGCTATTTTGTATAAAGAAGGTGATAATGTGGTATTCACACGTAAAGACTGTAACCAACGGATAACAGTTAAATACCGTAATATGGGAGATTCGAAAGAAATGCTACAGAAGTAAAAAATTAACTTGGATAACAAAGAAGTGAATAACAAGTTATAAAAATCTTTATTTATTACACAAGTGTTAGTGTCTTTACATCAACACTAATATAATTGTAGAGGAATGGCTGGCCTCAATTTTCAAAATACCGAAGATTTTCCACAAGTGGAGAAGAAGGAGAGGACTTCTTCACTAAACAAAGACCGTAATTAATGTAATTATATGTCACACTTTCAAATCAGACCCAACTTTCAGTGAGGCAGCCTACAGTTCTAGATTACTAACGTCAGTGATAACTTTCATTACACATATTTAAGGGGAAATTAGCTCTCAGCTTATACCAACTTGTAAAACCTCTGCACATTGCTTGTATATGACCCACAACCCAAGATTGGGACGATAGAAAAGGTTGACCAATCGAATAAAAGCTATTTTAAATGACTTCTGTGGTATACGACCTTAGCCGGAACAATGGCCATACCCACTTTGAGGTTGCACTGTAAAAAAGAACCACTAAGTGTTTTAATGTTAACCCGACCATTCCTACCTTGTTTCCTTATTTTTTGGTGTTCCCATTTCTACTTCCTAATTTTTATTTATTTATAAACATTTTTAAAGTTGTCTCATAGCTTTTTTCGGGTACTAAGTCTCGATAGTGATTATACATCCTTCATGTAGCTTTTCTTGGAGCTATCTCTCGACATTTCCTACCTTTTGCTGATATCTTTGTTATAGTTTTTCTTCTATCTAGTCAGGGTGGCAGCCTTTTCTTTCGCTGGATTAATTGCTAAGGCTTGTTTCGAATATTCAGCGTTACTCTTTCTAACCTTATCTCTATTCTTGCAGTAATGATCTCTTCGCTGGGACAAAGAATTTTCAAGATTATTAACATAAGATTTTCTCCTTTTCTCTCATTTTGTTTCTTTAAAAAGCTTATTTTAAAAATCGAAATGTTTCAAGTACAACCTTATATGTCAATAGGTCACACTTAGTTAGAAAACAATGCAAAGGTAAATTATACAACTTATCGTTATTGTTTTAAGTCCAGAGTTGTTGAGCAAAGCCGTGTCAGACTTCGGTAGAATTTCTCTGTCCAACGCAGAACCATCGAGTCAGATGTATAGAACTGAAAACTTCGCTTTCAAAACCTAAATCATAGTTAGAACCTAGATCTAGAGAATCTATGTAGTCCACGTTTTTTTTTTTTAATCTAGCTGATACAGCTGCAGACTGATCACATAGCGCGTGCGCATAAGCAATCGTTCACCCACACATGATATGAGGGCGAGTTGTTACCTGGCATATCACAGAGCGTACTCGTAATTATAGGATATGACTACTAGTGTATTGTTAGCTCGTTAGTAGTGTTACAAAATGGTTATTGTTGTTACTTGTTATTACCAAGATTATAAGTAAAACTAAGAAAAATGCTTTTAACCAAGGTAGCGTAATTGAATAATGTGCATTTATATTTGAATAAGGTGAAGGCAGGAGAGAGATATGCCTTTTCAAAAACATTAGTCTTTGAGTCAGTCAGATTGACAAGTTTATGGTTTTGCGAAAATTTAGTTTTTACCCTACCGACTTTCTAAAGTACTTTGATGGCTTGTTACTCTGCAGTTGGTTTGTACTCAACAGTGTATGTAAAGTGCATATAAAGTTTTATTTACATGCTGTTTGCAGTGTGTTTGATATTTTAATTTGTATTTCACATATTGCACTTCTGGCTCATTCCTACTATTAGTACTACCATACTTATGATACTGTGTTTTTCTATTTCTAGCTCTAACTGTTACACTAAGTCATCAGTTGTATTTTTTCTTACAAAATTAGTCATGTAACACAGAAAAACATAGGGCATACAACTGTTGAAAGAACTTATCAATAAATGATATTAAACCGAGCTTTAGTAGTAATGGTGTCATGGTACCTAGCTATGAAGTCTTGTAAAGTGGAGTCTTTTAAGCTTTTATTTTGTTTCTAAGCACGACTACTACCACAAAGTGGTGTTAAAATGAATAAATTTTTCTCCTACAGTTTTTATGTGGTAATTTAATAGTGAAGATAGAATGAAAACAAAAACATACTACGAAACTGTTATAAAGTGAATCATTTATCGAGCTGCGGGAGTCAGTTTAGTTAGTTTCAAAGCGTATATCGTTATCTGTAGAGAAGTTTAACGAAAACGTTAAATTGTGAAATCGATTATATGTACTTTACGCTTTTGACTTGAATATTTCAGTCCAATCGTATGTCACCTTACACGTTAAAAGCGCTATACAACGAATATAATTACCTATTCTATAATACATCTGTAAAGCTGCTTATATAAGCTGACTCCATGTAAAATTATACCGAATGTTTAAGACAATTATCTCTATTTAGCTTCGTATGTTGGAACATGATCTAACTTAGTCCTTGAGTAGCATTAATCATTTATTTATGTTTAATTTTGTAATATTTGTCGTTACTAATGTCAGTAGTTGGCCCGTCTTTTACGGACTGACGTTGACATTTTGATTTATTGTAGCAAAACCTAGCTTACTGGGTACATTATGTCTTTGATTTATTGCAGCACAAACCTAACGTACTGGGTACATTATGTCTTCGATTTATTGTAGCACGAACCTAACGTACTGGGTACATTATGTCTTTGATTTATTGTAGCACGAACCTAACGTACTGGGTACATTATGTCTTTGATTTATTATAGCACAAGCCTAACGTACTGGGTACATTATGTCTTTGATTTATTGTAGCACGAACCTAACGTACTGGGTACATTATGTCTTTGATTTATTGTAGCACGAACCTAACGTACTGGGTACATTATGTATTTGATTTATG